GAGAGAGAGAGAGATCCATTTTCTAGGTATGAAAAAATATCAGTAAATTCTTTAATCCTTTAAACAATTCAAAACCCTAATACTCCCCCAAAACTCACCCGCAACTCATTCTACAAACTCTGAGATCAATTGAAATCCCAATTCAATTTTTTTTCAACGAGATATTGAAAATTCAGAATTCCCCAAATGTGAATGAATTACAAGCAAGTGCAGAACAAATTTAGTTCAGATATTTTAAAAGGAAATACAATTCAAATTATCTTAAAGAATATACTGAATTTTTTAGAATTTCAGGAACTTTTGAGTAATGAAAAGAAAGAGAAACATAAGGGATCTGACCTGTGATGGAGTGGGATGAGAGTCAGGAGGGAACCCTAAGATTTCCTTTGCCACTGCGGCCAACATTTTCCCTCGCTTTTTCCACTGCTCATTTCCAAGCTACAAAAAGAAATGCTACATGGAGTGTACAGTATGGTACTCGTGACCATGTAAAATCTATGGTTTGGTCGATTCACAAAGGAAAATTTTTGATGCGGGCTAGATCGCATTTCTACACATGCGGTTCAGAAAGTGTAAAGCATCCATCTTTATGTAGGTGTTCCATCTAAAAACAATGGAAACTGACCGTCTAAATGTTTTCTTACTATAATTGTTATTTTTAGTTTTTAAAATTTATTTATTTTTTCATATTTATGATCTCTATGCTAGAGATTACATGTCCTTAAAACTTAAGTCCTAAAATCCATCTCAAAAAATATACTTATTAAGAGGCCTACGTTTCTACATGTACGTGCTTACCTACATAGAAACCGGGTTCATTCACAAATTAACAAAGGAAAATGGCTTATTAAAATAAGTAAAGCCTCTCTTGATAACTCATTAAAAATTGCAATTCAAGTGTTAAAAATCTTTTACATTGATCATTTCGCCCTAAAAATAGCCTATATTGTAACAAATTATTTAGAACGTTCATTTCGCCCTAAAAATAAGTGTCCATAGATCCATAAGATCTTTATCATTTTTTAGTTTTGAATTTCAATGTCAGTGTTGAATTGATTTTAGAGCTATCATGGATATTTCTTGGGGCCCATATTCTTCTGCATGAAATTTCTAACTATTATGTGTGTAATTCTTACCTGACCGCCGCGTGTATAATTCTTGACCTCTCTGTGTGTATAAATTCTTTACCGCCATGACCACTCTGTGTGCGTTTTCCTGGTGCCGCGTGTGTTCTGTCCAACCGTCATGCGTAATGTTTTACCGCGGTGTGCGGTTGAATAGGGTAGTCGAGGGGGGGACTTTCTCTTTTTTTTCTCCCCCTTCTTTTCCTCACCCATGTGATGCCACCTCACCCATGCCACCTTACCCATGCATGTGTGCCACATCAGCTCATGCATATGGCCACCTTCTCTCTCCCCCCCTCTCCCCGCCCGCCCTCTCGCCCGCCCTCTCGCCCGCCCTCAGCCCATTCACCTTTTTGCTCTCTCTCTCTCTCACCTACGTTTTCCCTCCCTCAACCCACTCACCTTTTGCTTTGTCTCTCTCTCACCCACGTTTTTCTTCCCTCAACCCATTCACCTTTTGCTCTCTCTCTCTCTCACCCACGTTTTCCCTTGTAGACTTTAGAACTTTAGTCACTGAAGCCACTTTAAAGAGCTTGGTAAGGGCAGGGAGTTGGAATCTCATGGTAGAGGTAAGTAGGATCTTCCCCATGCTTTTATACTTTGTGTGATGCATGTTCAATTTATTGCTAAAGTATGAAATTGATTTGTGTTTTTTTAGTGATGCATACTTGATTTTGTTGGTAATAACATGAAATTGAAATGTGATTATGCATATGCTTGTGAAATGGTGATGGACTTATGTTGTCTAAATTTGGTTAAGAATTCTTGCAATTTTCCAAAAATCTGTATTCTCTGTAAATTGCATTTTTCACCGACTTTTATATATCAAAATGAGTTCAATTTTGATTCAAATGAAAGATGGGTGAGTTCTCTTCAATTGTTCTCAGGTTGCAGAGTAAGATTCTTTATGAATTGGAAGATAGACTATATTTTCCAAAAGAGTGTCACCTGAAATTCTGAGATTTTTCAGAAAACTACACTCTCTATGCATTACACTTTTCACCGACTTTTATATGTCCAAATGAGTTCAAATTTGATTCAAATGAAATATACGTAAGTCATCTTCAATGTTGCTTTTAGTTGTAGAGTGAAATTCTTCATGGTTTGATATTTATACCACTTATATGATATATGTGATAAGTGATAAGTACTGTGATTTCATATGTGAGCATGAACTTGCCACATAATGCAATATAATGTGTGAGCGTAATATGATATAATGTGTAAGTATGATAAGATATGATATGTGAGCATGGACTTGCCGCACGATGTGTGATATAATTTGTAATCATATGTAATAAGACATGTTTATGAACTAATAAAAGTGCATGGTTGTATTAAGATGTGCTTGTGATGCATTGAATGTTTACGAAACAATGAATGTTTATGAAATATTAAATGTGCATAGTTGTGATAAGGCATGCTTATGAGCTAGTGAGTGCTTATGAAATAGTGAATGTTTATGAAATATTGAATGTGCATATTGTAATAGGACATGCTTATGAAATAAAAGTATGATTTGAAATATGTATGTGCTATGTGATAAGGGGCACTATGATGGTATCAAAGCACCTATTGCATAGTGCCCCTTATCACATAGCACATACACATTTTAGATCACACTTTTATTTCAGGGCATACTTTCATTTCATAAGCATGTCCTATTACAACATGCACATTCAATATTTCATAAACATTCACTATTTCATAAGCACTCACTAGCTCATAAGCATGCCTTATCACAATTATGCATATTTAATATTTCATAAACATTCACTGTTTCGTAAACATTCATGGCATCACAAACACATCTTAATACAACCATGCACATTTACTAGTTCATAAACATGTCTTATCATATTAGGATTACGCATTATATCACACATCGTGCGGCAAGTCCATGCTCATACATCATATTTTAGCATGCTTACACATTATATCATTATTATGCTTATACATTATATCGCATTATGTGGCAAGTCCATGCTCACATGAAATCACAATACTTATCACTTATCACATATCATATTACATATATCATATCAGTGGCATAAATCTCAAACCATAAAAAATTTCACTCTACAACCAAAAGCAACGTTAAAGAGGTCTCACATATCTTTCATTTGAATCAAATTTGAACTCATTTGGACATATAAAAGGTCTCACATATCTTGCATTTGAATCAAATTTGAACTCATTTGGACATATAAAAGGTCTCACATATCTTTCATTTGAATCAAATTTGAACTCATTTGGACATATAAAAGTTGATGAAAAGTGCAATGCACAGAGAGTGTAGTTTTATGAAATCTCATAATTTCAAGTGACACTCTTTTGGAAAATGTAATTTGTTTCCCAATTCATTAAGAATCTCACTCTACAACCTAAAGAAAAATTGAAGAGAATACATCCATCTTTCATTTGAATCAAATTGAACTCATTTTGATATATAAAAGTCGGTGAAAAGTGCAATTTACAAAGAATACAGATTTCTGGAAAATTGCATGAATTCTTAACCAAATTTAGACAACATAACTCCTTCCCTATTTCACAAACATATGCATAATCACATTTCAATTTCATGTTCTTACCAACAAATCAAGTATGAATCACTAAAAAAACACAAATCAATTTCATACTTTAGCAATAGATTGAACATGCATCACACAGGGCATGAAAGCATGGGGAAGATCCTACTTACCTGCACTATAGGATTCTAAATCCCTTCCCTTGTCAAGCTCCTTAGAGTGGCTTCAGTGTCTAAAGTTCTAAAGTCTAAAGGGGAAAACGTGGGTGAGAGAGAGAGAGCAAAAGGTGAATGGGCTTGGGGGGGGGGGGGAGGAGAGATAGAGGGTTGCATGCAAGGCCAAGTGGCTTGCATGCAAAGAGAGAGAGAGATAGAGAGACGGTGACCACATGCATGAGCTGATGTGGTACACATGCACGGGGTAAGGTGGCAATGAGGTGGCATCACATGGGTGAGGAAAAGAAGGGGAAGAAAAATAAGAGGAACTCCCCCCCCCCTGGACCACCCTATTTAACCGCACGCCGCGGTAAGACGTTACGCATGACGGCTGGACAGAACACGTGTGGCACCAGAAAAACACACACAATGGTCACTACGGTAAGGAATTTACACACACAGAGAGGTTAAGATTACGTAAGCGGCGGCCAGGTAGGAATTACACATACGACAGTTACGAATTCGATGCAGAAGAATCTGGGCCCTTACATTTTTGTTGTTGAAAGTGCTTTCTGGACGAGGATTTGAGGTGAGTCTTTATTTTGTTGTCCCAAAGCCTAGGCCTTGTAGAAACTTCATCTATTTCAATATAAAGTTTATATAGAAAATAACTGCTCACTTCTAACCTTGTAGAAACTTCATCTAGTTCAATATAAATTTTATATAGAAAATAACTGGTCACTTCTAAGCTGAACCTGACTTGATAGGACTTAGACCTGAACAAGCTCTTAGGTCTAAATTTCTAGACCTAGACCTAGACATGGCTAGGTCTAAAAGTTGGACCCGAACTCTTATCCAAGTATGGCCTACCCAACCCAACCTTATCGACCGCCCTATATGTAAAATGTATATTGAAATATGTATAATATTTCTTTAAGGAAATTTATTTTGACTGACCTGACTAGGCTTGGCTAGCCCCGACCTAGACCTAACCGATTTAGACCCCTACAAATCGCTACCCAACCTAGACCTAACCTGACCCATTTAGACCCCTACAAATCGCTACCCAACCTGACCCATTTAAACCCTTACAAATCACCTCAAAAAATTTGACGAGGTGATCAAGTAGTCTAGTCCTTATTAAAAAAGTGCATACTTCAAAAAGACCATCGCATTCAAAGTTCCTAACTATTTTGCTAAAAAATACCCAACATCCTTATTCTTTAAATTAGAACCCTAGGGTATCTTATTGTTGAGACCAACCAAGTGCTAGAAGCCTGAAGATGTATTTGGGTTGGGTTTCAAATTCAGTAACATGTGATTTCAAGTCTCTAGTTTCACTTTGGAACCACGAATAAGCAAAGGAACGTACCCTTGTGTCATGGATCAAATTATTGAATACCCCTATTTAATTAGGTGATTAGTAGCAGCATTTGAGTTTTTTTTTTTTTACTTCTAAGTGGATAATTATACCTCGTGACCCTAATTTCTAGGCATTTTTTCCCCAATATTTTTTAAACTATATCATCAACCTCAACGTTATTTATTTTTACACACACACTCCCAACTGCAAAAGTAATTTTTTAAGGATAAAATGCCATTTTTTTAAACCCACATATCCCTACCCATCCCATCT